ACCTGCATGTGGATAATTTTGTTGCATTTTTAAATGGCCTTTTTTGATTTCACAGACCTTTACAACAACAATGTTAATCCATCTGTCAACAGATTTCTGTTTTATGTCTGGGCAGGGAAGATAATGTCATATGAAAGCCTCTATTTAGACTGGACTTTGACTCTCAGTGATGAACATGATAAAAGAATGGGTAACAAAAATCTATGCCTATCCACTGGTGAGGATTTATCAGTTCTGTTGAAATTAACTGCTACACTAATGTTTCTAAATGGGACTATTTACGTCTATGCGAAATAACGGGGAGGAAGGTATTTTTAATGAGGTTAAGTGCATGGCAAATATGGCAGAGCTCAAATCGTGGTTGGTCACAAGAGTATGATCAGTTTTTATTTAAATGCCATTATATGAAGACTAAGATGCTACTTTTGGTGTTGATATGTTTGTTGTTATAACTGTTCTTATAATCCTAAAATTGAGGTTGTACACAGAACTTTCTGGTTTCTTTGGTTTTTAAGCTCAGTGTCTTTAAATACATCATTTGACATGGTTAGGCATGCTTGGTTTGAGCTGGTATTGTTTGAAATGTAATTGAAATATTTAGAATATACTACATTCACTGGTTTTAATCGTTTTAGACTTTTATTAAAGCATTTATCTTTTCTTGAGATCCCTTGTGAATAAATCACTTATAATTTAAACTTTGCATGTTTATACTGATATATATATTGGAAATTTGTACTGGATTTATTCTAATATATTGGAATATATGCAACCAGAATGATCATACTTCATAAACTGATCCCATGGCTTTTTGCAAGCCACTATAAAAGTGTCAAGTTAATTCATTGTATGTGTGCAATAGCCTTTCCTGAATGACATCCCCAAACAGAATCCTAGTGAGTTTACAGCTTTAATGGTTTAACCGTCCAGTTCATTTCAAGTGACAGAGTCACGGCTGGATGGGCTCAGCTTCCTGCAAAGCCCAATTATTCTGAATCATTTCACTAAAGGGGCCTGATCTAGCGTGTGCACCAAGGGCAAATAAGGCAACGTTAGACTGTATAAATGGCATCTTGCTGCATTAAGTGCCCATCCCTGCGCCTCATATCAGACCAATTCAAGCTCTTAGATGCACTAACTGCCCATCTAACACCCCTTCCACGCCCCCTCCCCCCCCACCCTATTCTGTGCCTTCCAAATAAATACGAACTTTTGTGCAAATACGAACTTCCTTATTGTCTTCATGTTTTTTCCTCACACAGATTGGAGAGTGTTCAGCACTTTTTTTGATTCAGGAACGGCTATTCCTCCAAATGGAATAACGAAGGAATATTGGCAGCCAATGGAGAGCCTATAAAAAGGAGGCATTAGTTAACTGATCTAGGTGAGCTACGAATCGACAAACAACTGATCTGACATGGAGTTGACAGCATCCAGCTTTGTCTCATTGTTGGTCTACATCTTGACCTTCTTGCTTGGACTTCCCAGCAATCTCCTTGTTCTTTTCGTGTACATCCGTAAGGCTCGAAAACACGGTGCCACCCCCAATGTAGTCTACGCTCTAAACCTGTGTGTGGCAAACCTGGCTCTAGTGTCGTGGATGCCAGTCAAAGTGGCCGAGACGCTCCAAGGTTGGACTCTTCCAGCTGCGGTTTGTCCTGTTTTCAGCTTCTTTCTGTTTTCTTCGGTCTACGGTAGCAGTTTGATCCTCACAGCTGTTGTCGTGGGCCGTTATCTGAGTATCGCCTATCCCATAACTTACAAACTATACCGCCGGGCGCGTACCTCTTGCCTGGTGAGCGCCATCTTGTGGCTTTTAGTGCTTGTACACTTGGGTTTTGCTTTTATTGCTGAAGGAGGGGGCCATTTTGTGTCTTTATCAGAGGAGAATGTCTTGGCATGCTATGAAAACTTCACCCAGGAGCAGTTGGAACTGCTGGTGCCGTTACGCCTGGAGATGGCACTGCTGCTCTTCATGGTGCCGCTTGTTTTGTCAGCATTCTGTACACTGCGCTGCCTTGTGCTTGTCAGACACTCAGCTTTGCCCTCTGTTGGGAAAAGAAGGGTGTTAGCCATTGCACTCTCCACTTTAGTAGTATTTGTGGTCTGTTATTTACCCTACAATGTTTCCCACGTGGTGGGCTTTGTCTTGTACACTAATGTGGAGTGGAGAAGTGAAGCCATGCTTTCCTGCTCCTGCAATGTATTTCTTGAGCCTGTGGTCATGTTAATGCTTTCGCCGTGGACGCCAAGGGATTTGGTGGTCAGATTGTGCCGCAAACGAAGGAACGTGTCATGCAAGTCCTGGCATCAGAATCACTGCAGCAGGGCTTCCAGGAACCCTCAAACAACAACGACACAAGCTGCGTCAATAATAAGCCATGGTGAATCTAAAGATGACAAAGCAAAAGCAAACAAAGCATACTCGTCCATAAAAGTGACCTGATTAGGGTACGGCAAGACACTCGTGGAAATAAATGAGATGTTGACTTTGAACATGGAATTTTTTTTAACTTGTGAGTGTAAGTCCCCCAATCATATTTAGGGGAAGGATATGAGCTGAGAGATCTTGTTTTGCTGGTTATTAAAGATACTGGATGAGAGTGCATGTTCTTATAATATTTTGCAAGACATTAGCTATTTACACACAGCGTTCCCTTTTCACTTATGTTTGCCTCTGTATTATATGATTACATTTTTAGTGATTTTAACCTAAAATATAAACAATAGTAAGTTATTATAATGACTAAAAAAATTAAAATAGCATCTAGTGGATCTTCTAAACACGAGGGAAGATCTATAGTAAATTTGAAGCAGTTCTATGTATATTCTTTTATTTCATTCAAATCTGAACAACAGAGTAGCATTGATGACCCATGTGTTTAATTTGTAACTATTCTGTGAAACAGTTATTCTGTAATTATTGTAATAGTGCTACTATAAAATGTATAATGTGAATGTGTAAAATGTTTAACATGGGCACTGTATTGTAAATATAAATTAAATTGCTCTTACACTATTTGGGACTGTTTCATTTTCCTGGTGTAGTTTTAGTGTATGGAAATTATGAAGTGATGCAGCATGTATTATTATTGTAAATATTTATTTTTTTATGCATACACTGTTAAATGTTACATGTTCACACAAAAGTCACTGCAGGACCACAATGATTTTCAGAAATTGTTGATATCCTTAATATCATTTAAAAAATACTCCTTACACTAATTTTGGGCCTCACATCCATACGAGAAAAAAAACAAAAAAAAAACAATAGTTCTTTATTTTCACATTGACTAAGTGTGGACAAAACCCATGTGACAGTTTGTGGTTTGCAATGAGGCACTTCCCTGGAAAGATTTGAGAACTGATAAACATGCATGTTAAAAGTTACTGTTTAAAATTAGATGGAAGCATGAGCCATAACCTGAAGAGTTGTGGTGAGCATTTAAAAGTCTTAAAATCTATTTAGATGCTTTTGAAATTATGTTGGACTGGAATACACCTGTTATACTTATTTATTGTGGTGAAACTGGTAAGTCATTTTTACAAAACATCTCCAAAGAAAAAAAAGCTTTCTTGGAATAGCATTGTTTCAAGGTTCTGAATATGTATTTTTATTTAAAACTATAAGATGATAGCAGTGCAGCAATGTTACCCGCTGATTTGCACATTTTGCTTTCACATTAACTTTCGCCATTAATCGTTTTTTTAGTATATATGCATCAGAATTTGACATTTAATTATTAAAAATACCTAAACCTGATTGTATGAAGATCAGAATTAACATTTTGAATGATCTAATTTCATTTATGTTTTTGATTGGCACAGTTCATTGTTTTGTATTATACAGCTTTTTTTGTTCAAAAAGCTCTCAGCAGTTTGATCACGGCACATAGATGATGGAATCAATATTAAGTCATTTAATGCAAAAGCCACTTAAGGGTCAGCCAAAAGTTTCGCCATTAATCGTTTTTTTAGTATATATGCATCAGAATTTGACATTTAATTATTAAAAATACCTAAACCTGATTGTATGAAGATCAGAATTAACATTTTGAATGATCTCATTTCATTTATGTTTTTGATTGGCACAGTTCATTGTTTTGTATTATACAGCTTTTTTTTTTCAAAAAGCTCTCAGCAGTTTGATCACGGCACATAGATGATGGAATCAATATTGTCATTTAATGCAAAAGCCACTTAAGGTTCAGCCAAAAGAAAGAAAGAAAGAAAGAGTATTCTAAAGAATGTTTATGCTGCTCTTAGCATACTAACAGTTTAAAATAATCACATCTGTGCAACTATAAAATGAAAGAAAAAATTAAATTTTTCTAGATTTGGAATATAGACTAATGTTAAGTAACTTTATGGTATATTTGTGTCATTTTGGAGCAAGACATATTCACTAAGACCATCAAACTTGGGAAGAAATGCACAACAATGCTTAAAAATGTGCGAAAAAATGGATACAGGTTTGTAACAACACGAGACTGAATAATAATAACTATCCCTTTATTACAGCCTCCAGACTTTAAGTAATTGTGCTTTTCGTTGATCATAGATAGAATGTAGACCGGTCTGATTATTTGTATTTTTTATTAGCTTTTGCTAGGCTAATGAGTAGGCCTGCTGAGGGTACAAAACAGTGGCTCAATTCTAAACATGTTTTCATAATATGACAGAATGCAAATCATACTACAGTTTACTGTATCTATGCCATCCAGGTGTCTGGAGTACATTACGGAAGCACATTTCAAAAGAGCCAATGATTTGATCGAGACTACAAATAACAGAGAGAAATAACTATTGGTAAGTTCCAAATAAAACCGCTTATGTTTTTAGTATCTTTAAGAACTTATTTTCTAGTCATTTTTTTCATAGTATTAAAAAATCGAAGAGAATAATCTCAAAACTGTGTGTGTTTATACAGGTGCTGTTTTAAGAACTCGCAGGGTTGTTTTCTACAGTAAAGTGAAAAACTTTATCACAGGCCGACAACAATGTCAGAAGATTCAACAGTGTTTCTCGCCATATGCATCATCACATTCCTGATTGGTTTTCCTAATGCTGTGTTGGGGTTCTGCTCATGTATTCGCAAGATTCACTGTAAACCTATCCCCATTGACATATTCATGTTAAACCTCGCTGCTTCTGACCTTGTCTTCCTCATCTTCCTGCCTGTCAAGATGAAAGAGGCTAGAGATAACATGGTTTGGAACATGCCAAATGCCCTGTGCCGCTTCAGTCTGTTCATGTTCTTTCTTCCTCTTTATTCAAGCGGCCTGTTCTTGGCAGCAATTAGTGCCGAGCGCTATGTGTGTGTAGCATTTCCAGTCAGGTATAAAAGTCCAAAAAGAATCATTTACACAACAGTTATATGTGTTGTCACCTGGGTGATTATTGCAGTAACTTCAGTATTTCCTTACAAGGCAGCATATTTAGATTCTAATGAAGCGGACAACACCACTAATAAGCGCTCTCAGGAAGCGTCACCTCTGGGCTGTTACATTAACTTCACAGCAAAACAGCTGAGAGAACTGCTCCCAGTGCGTCTCGGGATAGCAGTGGGGTTTTTCCTTCTACCCCTCCTTATCTGCTGCTTCTGTTACATCAGTTTAATTCGTATTTTGATTACGCGTCCTCTCATCAAGCGACAGCGTAAACTCCGGGTGGTTGGACTGATTGTGGGGACTCTCCTTGTGTTTGCCATTAGTTTTGCACCCTTCAATGCATCACACATAGTGGGCTTCATCAAAAAAGAAAATCCAGATTGGCGCATGAAAGCTTTAATACTAAGCACTTTAAACGCATGTTTTGATCCTATTATATTTTTCTGTATCTCTAAGGATATGAGAAGGGCCATCAAAATATGTGCAAAGGCCTTTTGTGCAGTTTTATGTTTTAAAATAAAAATATAAAAATAGTTTTACTATTTAAAGCAATTTTTTGTTGTTGTAAACTTAAGAATGGTATCACCAAAATGTCTTCTAATTCAATCGCACAAAAGAAATGTCCAAAGACATATTGTAACCTACACTTAGGGTGTACACATTTGTTATGGTAGGCTATATGAGCAGAAAAGGATCCTAGGAAAAATATCACTGAAATAACTGACTTGTGAGCATCACACCGATCTTTGTGACCTTGTTCCAGGAAATCTGTTGAACTGAACTTCACTTGACAAGATATGTTCACTCACCCTGCAAGGTCATAGACAACAGTAGCACATCTTTTAGAGAGGTTTCTAGTATGATGACATAATATATTATTTGTAAATAAATAATAACTTATCTTGCTTTCATTTAATATAAAGGTGTATATAAAACATCCAAGTGTATTTATAAAAATATTAAGTTATTATTAATTTAATTAATACAAATTGTCTTATTTTAAAGAGCGAAATGTCTGTTGTGATGTTTAATATGAAAATAAACGTAATTTGCTTATATTAAATGTGTTTTATTCACACGCTCACTTTATTACGGCGTACAGACCACACAATTTGGACTAAATGAACTCTTTAAAAACGCCTCACCCTTTTTTTTTTACCTTCTCAACTTCTGCTGGAGTGATGCGCAGTGACTAGTGAGTAAATTTCCTGCTTCCCTTCCTGTGAAGTGATGTGTCGAAGTTCCCGAAGGTTGAGGAATTGTGAGTCGTCTGCATCAATTCATAAATTAATCACAAACATTACAGGCTTGCGGCACCTGCTGCTGTTCAAAAAGGTCCAATGCAACAAAAAACTCACGCTCACCTTTTACAAACCAATTGCAAATGTTTTCGAGGAAATGTTATCTATTCAATTTAATCTACAAATAATTAAATCATATTAAATATGACGGTTCTGTAAATGTTGTGTTCTTTTGACGTTCAGACAAAAGTGAGCATTCTGTCATCATGTGCTCATCCTTAGTTATGACGTTCCAATCACTTTCTTTCTTCTGTGGAACATAAACATAAAATAACATATTTTTGAGAAATGCCTCAGTAGTTATCTACAGTAGGCCTATGTTCCGCAATATTGTGTTTTTCAGAAGAAAGAAGTTATAGTACAGGTTTACAACGACATATGGCCTAAGTAAATTACAAAAGAATTTTCATTTTGGGGTTGAAATATCCATTTAAGCTATGGCAATAGAGCAATACTTCCTGTTCCTAGAACCCATTTCCTGCGGACTGTAATTAAATGCCACTGAATCAACTTACCAAGGTCACTAAATTTACCTGAAAATTACAGCCAGGTGTGGAACTAAACTCCGCAGGAAGTCGATTCTTCAGGATCAGGAATGAGTAACCATGAACTACAGGAAACAGGCTCTTTGGTGGAAGTTGTAAAATGAAATTTTCATTAGTCTCATAGTAAACCTAATCATTTTATAAATAGCACATAGATGCTTTAACTTTAGAACCAATGTACATTTAGTTGCATTAAATTAAATTGTATTCATTAAAAAATCCTTTATGCAGAGTTCATTGGCTGAAAAGGATTCACCAGACAAACACATTACTAACAAATGAAAAGATCCTACATAAATATAGCAAATTTTCATTCTGGATTTCAGTAAATATTCACTTTAATAGCTTCAGGAATAAAATTTGAAAGATACACAAATCATCTTGGTATACTCAACCATGGCCTAGCAACTGAATCCTTACTAATTAATATAGAATTTCCATGTACACACACACACAAGACAAACACTTGCTTCTTATCTTTCCAGTATGTTCCATATGACAAGATATTGTTCTTGGGGGCCACATATACCCCATATAGAGCAGTTATGACAACTTCCTGTGTTCTTCTCACTGACTGTTCTCAAGGTTGCCAAGAGACATTGTTTGATGAGCCTCGGTGTTGCAGATTATGCTCTGAATTGATTGAATTTCCGCAGTTTTGAGTCATTGCACCCATCATGTAGTTTAATCACCCATTCAGAATGTCTAGGACAGAGGTGAAGGAAGCTCGCGGATACTTTGTGTGAAACTGGGCAGACACAAAATGCTGAGGATCCTTATTTTTCTACGTTGTGAAGGTCAGTATTTTTATTTTATTTATTATACTTTTTAAACAGAGAATATTTCTTTAACGACCCAGGGAGGCGGGAAGTAGGGGTGCTGAGGGGGCTACAGCACCCCCTGTTTTCACATGGTTGCAAATGCAACGCCAAGTTTGTTCATTTAAATTTATTCAGTTTTAGCATTTAATCATTTATTTGTAATGATCTCTGAAATGTAAATTGTAAGTGGGCTATAATAAACCCATGTTTATCTTTATAAACATGATTAATTTTACTTGTGATGTTTTTTATATGGGATGATTAGCCTAATCCTCTTGAACACGTGACGCTAGAAGCAACTTTTCCAATGCTTCTAAAATTTATTTGGCTGTTTTTCAAATGCTCTTTATGTTTATTTATTTATTTATTTAGTCATTTATCAGACGCTTTTATCCAAAGCGACTTACAAATGAGGACAACAGAAGCAATCAATTGTAGTATTAAAACAACTAAAAACAGATCCAAAACTAAAAGCTAAAACTTTATAAATACTACCTATACACATTAAAAAAAATAAAGAGATTAAATAAAAATGACAAATGCATACAACAAAATTTCAAAACTTAACATTTAAATGAAAAACAAAAACTAAAGCTAAAAACAATTCAAAATATTAAAGAACAAAAGGTAAAAGAGTATAATAATGATTCTAACATAACACTAAGCCAAACACCAAAAAAAGAACTACATATGTGTATGTACAACCATACACACATATATATACTGTATGTACATACACATTTATAAATTCAATATATATATATTATTTCATTTCCATTTAGTTTGTTGAAGTA